TCTCTCTCTCTCTCTCTCTCTCTCTCTCTCTCTCTCTCTCTCTCTCTCTCTCTCTCTCTCTCTCTCTCTCTCTCTCTCTCTCTCTCTCTCTCTCTCTCTCTCTCTCTCTCTCTCTCTCTCTCTCTCTCTCTCTCTCTCTCTCTCTTTATTACACCTCATACTATTATTACTGCGTTTGCTATCTTTCGCGTGAATACTGTCTCTGTCAACGTCGTCGTGTCGATTAATCATTTTCCTGTCTTTGATGATGAAAAAGCGTTTGTTGTTTTCCATAAAGCATGCTTAGCATGTTGCTTTGGATGTAATGATTTACCTACAGTCAACCCTGTGTTAACAAATGTTACACTTCTGTCGAATGGGCACCTTTCTCTCTAAGGAGCACATTTGGCATTTGACTTGAGTGTACTTTACATGTAGGGTTGACTGTATACATACTATGGTTTATATCTATTCTAAGGCTCATGTGCCACCATGACCATGTACATATGTGTACATGGATCAAATATATATGTATATACATATATATATATATATATATATATATATATATATATATATATATATGTATATATATATTTATATATATATATATGTATATATATATTTATATATATATATATGTATATATATTTATATATATATATGTATATATATTTATATATATATGGGTTCATGATGCTACTAAACGACGTGGTATTCGTAGATAATTTTTCGTAATGCTTGTCGTAGCATTGATTTCTTTGCAATCACCACTTAATGTTCGGTGATGCAAAATATGCTCATTCGTTAGCATTGGTGAGATTCGAATGAGTAAGTGGATGTAACGTTGTACAGACGTGGAAGCTACGTAACGGAACAGGTTTTTGGTTCTACCGTAATGTGTAGTTGCATAGGTCTACATGGTTCTATAGATAATTAACTCGATTATCTATAGATATCACTGTACATGATAGGTATAGTATCAAGAGCGTATAAAGAAGGTAGAGAAAGTATCTTCTTTATACGCTCTTGATNGAGAGAGAGAGAGAGACGGATCCTATCCATGCCGTCAATTAATCAATCAGTCATCAAGCGTCGTCCTCGTCACCACTGTGTGAAATTAGTTAATTAATTAAACGTGTTTAAGTTACAATTGGATTACGATTGCTTTGTAAGCTGCGATGAAGTGCGTTGGACAGATCGAGAGCGGGTCGTCGCACTACCGTTCTCTCACCGGCGTTTTCCCTTTTTTCGTACTTTTCTTTTCCCGCTGCTCAGAAAACTATAGGCTGGAAAAGGAATACGAAAATCAGCTTATAGTCAAACTGTTTGTGGTATGTTGTGCTCACTGTGGGCCGGCGTGACGATGGGAGCGCGCTCCTCGAGTCTGTGTGTGAGGCGTGAGCGACCCGTGCGTCACGTCTGCTCATGTCCTCTCTCTCTCTCTGTCTTTCTCGCTCTCGCTCTCACTTTCTCT